TCAATAACACTCTCAGTGTCCTCCCTTTGCAATCTTGTTTGTGTGACAACATGACTCCGCCTGAAGCATTATCCGGTGGCGTACGTACTCTTTACTGCGCGGCGGTGCCAACCAAAGCTGGTGGCTCCAGCGAAGCCCACCCCTCGTGAATTGAAACCGCTCTCCGACACAGACGACCAGGATGGTTTAATTTACGTGATACAGCTTTTACGGTCACAAAGCTTCCACGAAAGGAGAGGATCCAGCGCGAGTCATCCAGAACGCACTGGGCCTAGGCTCTGGTGTTTTACTTGCAGGTCGACTCAGGGAAGGAGCCCGGACGCAAGCCTATGGTGGATTGTAATGAAGAAGGAGCTTGATGTTTATTGAAGCCGATGCCGATATCAGTCTTCTTCAATTCGGTGACCCTCTTCAACCTCCATTCCCAAATTTTGATGACCTTCTTTATAATGTTCCTGATTCTGAAGGACTTCTCAATTATCCCCTCCTAATCATTCAGGTCTTCATTTTTGCCCATGACTTTGATTTCAGCTATCTAGGCCGTTGCTTATATCAGTCTCGTGTGTGTGTGGGGGTTGGGGTGGAGAGATTACACCAAAGACTTTGATTTGATTATTTCGGTGATGTTTTTTGTCCTCTTGAGAAGTAAATTTTAATAGCTATTTTCTTGTAGTCAATTACCAAATAATTGTTGTAAATAACCTAAAATAAGGGCCTGTTACATTTCTTGAAATAACTATGAAATTTGTAGGAGTTTGTTGTTATATTGCTAAACGATTATTGTGGACAGCTTAATTTGTTAACATAATAGTTAATTAGAGATACAATTAATTGGTCTTAAATATAAGACTCCTTCCCAATATTTATCTATTTTGTCCCAAGTAATACAACCGTGCTGGTGTTGTCCACTGATTTCTAAACACGGTGGCGGAGATCGCCGGAGGTGCAAGTAAACTGTCCATTGCTCCGGTATGGCAGAAAGATCTTCTATTAGCAAGAGACCCACCTCGAATTACTTGCACGCATGGTGAGTACGAGCAAGTCCCCAATAACTTGGGTCTCCCTTCTTAGTCTCAATAGTTTTGGATTGTTAGTTAATCTTTCAAGTAAGGGATTTGGTTAATCCTAAGAGAGTTTTTGTATTTTGTTCATCAATAATGACACTTGGTTTTTTTTTTTTTTTTCATTCTCATTACTTAAAATGGTATCATGAGCTCTGGTTGTTTTGGGCCTAAATTGTTGCACTTGGTTCTGTTGCTTCCGTTGTTGAAGCCCAATTCTTGTTTCTTGTTGCATTTCTGCCAGCTAAACAGATCCTCAATGCTAACGATGTCGTTCTGTCACCTCTACCCTTTTTTTTTTGAGCTGAGTTCTGTCACCTCTACCCTGAGTTCTTGCTTTTCCCCTCTTGCTGTGCCATGGCCAATCTTTCAAGAACTCGTCTTCATTGTTGCAGCCCGCTTTGTAACCCAGTAGCCGTCGAATCCTCCTTCAGAGGTTGCTCCAGTTGCCGTCAAAGCTGCACTCGTCGCCGTGGAAGCCACCTTCAAAGAAATCTCGGAGTGTCATCATAGTCTATTGGCAAAGCACCGTGATTCTTCGGCTCTGTTGCCGCAATTCCTCTATAAAGGAGCTAGCAACTCACATTATATGGAAGATCCAAGAGCCATAATGAGGTTGCTGCTACACGAGCATCGGTGATGCGCACTTCAATGGTCTTTTGCTTTTCTGTCACTTCGCACAGGGGAGAAGGATTGAGGCTGTCGAAGACTAACGGACAGAATGGGTTACAAGATTCTGGCAATTGAGGGCTAGCGTACCTAGTTGTGAAATCAAGAAACGGTTGGTGAGATTGATGTTCTACGGAAGGGATCAGATTATGGGTTGGGAAATTCTTGATTGAATTCAGTTCGTTCACAATATTGTTCTTCCTTGCTCGCTAGATGGTTTCCCACCTATGTTTCTTCACTCGCCGCCACAAAGTTGTCCTTCTTGTTCCCTCTATTCACCATCGAGGCTTCTCGGTTTTCTAGTTTGATGTTCAAGATCCATTCATGCCTTAAGAGAAAGTTCTTGAGAGCTCAAGGACCTAAAGGTATTCACAATTTACATGTAGACCAAGAAGCAGAATTTAGTTGCCTCTCTCACTGGCAGTTCCGCCATCGATGGTGTCGGGGTATGATAGCAGATAGAGAGAAAACAGAGAATATTTCATTCACGAAAACGCAATAGTGGACGGTACATCAATATATTTCCCTCAAACAGCCCACATCAGCAACGTATCTTTCTCTCTCTATAACAAACCTGTAACTAACTCAATAGGACCGGCTGACCTGTATCTGTAATAACCGCCCCAGTATTATTATATATCATTTACTTACTTTCTACCATATGCCATATATCAAATACTCCCCCCCTTAAGGAAGATCCTTGTCCACAAGGACGGTGGGAGCTTGCGGTGCGGTAGTGGAGAAATGCGGAAATTGGTGTTGAATAGCAGAAAGATCCTCCCAAGTGGCATCCTCTGGTTGAGTCAACTTCCAACGAACCAAGACCTGGGTAACTGGGAGATTGTGGCGCTTAACGATCTTCCTACCAAGAATCTCCCCCGGCTCCAACATAAACTGGCCCTGGTCGTCAATAGGTGGTAAAGCTGGAGACACGTGACCCACCGGACCAACATGCTTCTTGAGGAGCGAAACGTGGAAAACCGGGTGAACTCGCGTTCCTGCTGGCAGTTCCAGTTCATAGGCAACAGTACCCACACGCTTGAGGATTTTGAAGGGCCCAAAGTAACGGGCAGCAAGCTTATGCAAAGAAGAATTATTGAGTAAATTCCTTCGAAACGGGTGAAGCTTCAAATAGACCATATCCCCCACAGCAAATTGGCGGTCGGTTCTATGCTTATTAGCAGAGTTGATCATGCGGTGCCGGGCCTTAAGTAAGTGTTGTTTCAGAATTTGCAGAACTAATTCTCGGGACATACAAGCCCTGTCAACCAGGTCGTTTGGAGAATCACCTGATATGTATGGTAGATGAGTAGGAGGAGCCACCCCATAGACAGCTTCAAAGGGAGTCATTCCTGTTGCTGAGTGATACGTCGTGTTATACCACAGTTCCGCCAAAGGTAACCATTTGACCCATTGTTTAGGATAGTCACCAGTCATGCATCTAAGATAACATTCGAGACAACGATTCAGGACTTCCGTTTGACCATCTGTCTGTGGATGGTAAGCAGAAGAATACTTGAGCTGAACGCCATACAGTCTGAATAACTCCTTCCAAAATCTACCACAAAAAATGGGGTCACGGTCAGAGACAATCGATTTGGGGAAACCATGTAGTTTGACCACATTATCCATGAAGACCTGAGCCACATCCACCGCAGAAAAAGGGTGCTTAAGGGCCATGAAATGGGCAGCTTTGGAAAGCCGATCCACAACTACCAGTATGGTTGTTTTACCATGAGATTTGGGCAAACCACTAATGAAGTCCATCGACAATTCAGACCAAATATGCTGAGGGATCGGAAGAGGTTGGAGTAAGCCAGGGGAAGCAACCAATTCCGGTTTGAACCTTTGGCAAGTAACACATGTTCTGACAAAATTCCTCACGTCCTTTTCCATCCCCTTCCAATAAAATATTGAAGCCAAACGCTGGAAAGTAGAGTGCATACCGGAGTGACCCGCAATACCATCTGCATGGAAATGAGATAAGAGATCATTTCTTAAGCCACGGTCAGCCCCCACCACCAGCTTGCCGTTCCGTTTAAGAATATGGTGTTGCCACGCGAATTTAGGATGAGACAGAGGATTCTGTTCCAGCTCCTTAATGAGCTTCTGTAGTTCATCGTCTATCAACCATGAATTGCGTACCCGGTCATACAAAGGGGAGACAGGTGTTGAAACTGAGAGAGCACAACTAATTCCCTCAGAAAAACGTGACAGTGCATCGGCAACAGCATTGTCACTCCCCTTGCGATGCACAATATCATAATCTAGGCCCCATAATTTGTGAAGCCATTTAAATTGCTCCTGGCTCAGATCTCGTTGCTCCAGCAAGTGCTTCAATGGTAAATGATCGGTTTTTATAATAAATTTCTGACCCCACAGATAGGATCGCCACTGTTTGACAGCGAATACAATGGCGAGGAGTTCCCTTTCATAGGCCGATAATGGTTTCTTCTTTGGTGGAAGAGCCTTACTGGCAAAGGCTAGAGGATGACCATTCTGGGATAACACAGCACCTAACCCATGACCAGACGCATCAGTCTCAATGATAAAAGTGTCCTGAAAATTGGGCAGAGCAAGAACTGGGGGGGAGACCATTGCATTTTTTAAAGCAACAAAGGCCGAATGGGCTTCAGGAGTCCACTGGAACTGCTTGTCTTTTTTCAACAGCTCGGTTAAAGGTCTTGCCAACTCACCATATTTCCTTACAAATCGTCGATAGTAACCTGTGAGGCCCAAGAAACCACGCAGCTCACGAGTAGAACCAGGGACCTTCCATGATGAAATGGCCTCCAACTTCTTTGGGTCTGCCTGCACCCCTTTGACTGATATAATATGACCCAAATAATCAATTTGCCGAGCTGCGAATGTGCACTTGGAGCCTTTAGCGAACAATTGCTGTTGCTGTAACGTTTTCAAAGTAGTCTCCAAATGGTCCAGATGAGCAGGCCAATCCTTACTATAGACTAGGATATCATCGAAAAAAACCAGGATGAATTTTCGAAGGAAAGCCTTAAAAACATGGTTCATCAATCCTTGGAACGTAGCAGGGGCGTTTGTAAGCCCAAAAGGCATGACCCTAAATTCATACAGGCCCTCATGAGTCCTAAAAGCAGTTTTAGCTACGTCATCTTCCCTCATCCGAATTTGGTGGTAACCCGCACGTAAATCTAGTTTAGAGAAGTAAGTCGCGCCAGTCAACTCATCTAAAAGCTCTTCGATTACAGGAATTGGAAATCTGTTCTTTATTGTAGCTGCGTTTAACTTCCTCTAATCCACACAAAATCGCCAGGACCCATCTTTTTTTTGCACCAGCACGACAGGAGCCGCAAAAGAACTACTACTCTCTCTGATTACTCCGTGAGATAACATTTGTTGCACCTGAGACTCAATTTCAGCTTTCTGCATTGGCCCATACCGATAAGGCCTGCAATTGATTGGTTTGTTGTCAATGAGAGGGATGGAGTGATCGAATCGCCGAGAGGGAGGCAACTCACATGGCTCATCAAATACTCTGCTATACCGTTCCAACAATAGTTGCAGCTCAGCTTGTTGTGTTTCAGAAAGTTCAGCATTCGGCTTTAAATCTAATGATAGGTGCGAGGGAACATGAATCAGGAAGACATGTTGAGCGACCATGACATCTTTAGGGGACCAGAGTTCTTCAGTTACCAGACTACCATAATAGCCCACCCCATGTAACTCAACGAGTCGGCCATCACGGTGAAATTCAAACAGTTTCAACTCCATATCCATGGAGAATTTACCCAACGTTCGCAGCCACTGAGTGCCCAGAATAGCATCATAGCCTCCAATCTTCATGACTAAAAAGTCATCGCGAAATTCAAACCCTCCCATTTCCCATAGCAGCGAGGGGCAATATTTGGTGACGCTGACCTTACGAGTATCTGCTACTGTCAAGGTGACCGTGGGGCGTTCATGAACCTTCAAGTTTAGACGTTTAGCCATGGTAGCATCGATGACATTATGAGTACTGCCAGTGTCAACCAGAATGACCACCGATTGATTTTTTATGCGCCCGAGAAGTTTCAAGGTGACGGTGTTTTCCTTACCCTCAATAGCATTAATAGTTCCAGTAGACTCCGACGGTACCATCTCCAGAGCATCTTCAAAATGGTCGTCATCTTCATCGACTAGAAGAGAGAACAGATGCGCTTCCTTACACTTATGGCTCGGGGTATATTTCTCTGCGCACCAGTAGCATAAGCCTTTCCGTCTTCGTTCATCCATTTCTTTCTTGGTCAGGTGCTTAGTCGGCTTTGATACAGAGGAAGCTATGGATGACGAGGGAGGCGCTGATGGAGGCGAAGACTTAAAGGCCACCGGACTGTGAACTGTGGACCTTTCAGAAATCGACCCATCACTGGCCGGCCCAAGCTTAGAGCCCACTAGCCCAGAGAATTTGCTTGAGTCAGCCCTACCAGAAAACAGTGAACGCCGATTCGGGGCATTGTCGTGAAGAGCTTGAATTGCTACCTCCTGCATTCTAGCGGAATTAGTAGCGCTCGCCAAGGTCGTCGGCGCAAAGTTCAGAACAAGCTTCTGGATGTCTGGTCGTAGGCCTCCAATAAAAAGATTAATGGCCACCTCTTCTGGTATGTCCACTTCACACAAAAGCTCGTCAAACTTCTTCTCATAGTCCATTACGAGGCCTGTACCTTGCTGAAGCAGTTTAAGGGTGATCAGAGGATTTTCGCCCTTAACATCAGAGAACTTAGCTTCCATCTGCTTGAAATATTCGTCCCAACTAACATCGGAAAAGGCTCTGTGACGCATGAAAGTCTGGTGCCAACAAAGAGCGTGCCCTTCCAGATGAATAGAGAGGAGGCGTATACGCTGCTCAGCAGGTGTTCCGTCGACTTCGAAAAACTGACGGCAGCGGTAGGCCCATCCCTTGAAGTCGTCACCGTCAAATCGGGGAAACTCAACTCGACTGTGCTTGGTTGGAATGACATACGAAGAGGGCGGCTGCTGAAACAACTCATTCAACGAGCCAAATGTGGGCATTCGGGGCGGTGTAGCAGAGTGGGAGGCCCCCTCCCCAACTGATGGTCGTTTCCCATGTTCCGAGAGAGATGAGAGTTTAGAGTTGATTTCCTTAAAATAATGCTCAAATCTGGCCGAAGAGGTTTTAAGATCATTCCGCAAATCAGAAAGGTCCTGAGATTGCTTGTCCAAGCGGACGGTAATGGAGTCGATGGTTCCTTGCTGCAAATCTAGTCTCTGTTCAATGTCACCGAGACGTTCGGAGGATCGCGTCTCCGGCATCATGGACCGGAGAGAGGGCTCTGATACCCTTATGATAGCAGATAGAGAGAAAACAGAGAATATTTCATTCACGAAAACGCAATAGTGGACGGTACATCAATATATTTCCCTCAAACAGCCCACATCAGCAACGTATCTTTCTCTCTCTATAACAAACCTGTAACTAACTCAATAGGACCGGCTGACCTGTATCTGTAATAACCGCCCCAGTATTATTATATATCATTTACTTACTTTCTACCATATGCCATATATCAGGGTATGATTGGGTGTTGCCGAGAAGATGTGTTAGTCGGCAGGGACGGATGTGTGTTTCTCATTAACTTGTGGTAGTCAAGCGATTCCTCCAATCAACTAGCAAGACCCACGGCACCTACAAGTTCTTCAACACACCATTGTTGCGGTCTCCAGAGGGAGATCTTGGAGCTTGGCATAACATGCAACAGGCGAAATGCCCTGCGTCAGTGTGGGGAAATTCATGGCCAGTTTGATAATCTCATTGAGTTGTTTTCGTTATGCATTCACTCTTTTTCCTTTGGACGACCAATCTGAGAACCAAGTTCTTGATGCCATCCAAAGAAGGACACGTTCCTCTGCTTGACATGTACTCTTATTTTTGGAGTCAGAGTTTTTTTTTTGAACGGATACTGATACAGAGAAAGCGTTGGAATTGCTAAAGCTAAAGGACGCACTCCTTCTCATTTGCTTGACTTCATCTTCTCACCATGAAAACATTGTCAGGCAACAAAAGAACTGTAGAGATTCAGAAGCAAAAGACTTTCTGCATTAGATACTCTCGGTTGTAGCGTGTTATCATTCTCATAGGAGATCTGAAACCACAACATATACTCATTAATTTTCGTAATCATTTGTTCATGCTTGCGGACTTTGGATTGACCTGCAGCACGTTTGAAGATTTTAATACCTCTTCCCCATGACATCAACAGCTTTGCAGCTCATGACACCTGAAGTCCTACTTGGTTTCAATGCATGTTCATTGGGAGCTGATCAGTTACCAAAAGCACATGAAACTACTGGGTTCCACAGAGTTGCTCTTTATATTTGAAGTATTTGGGTTGCCTTAGTGATCCGGAAACAATTGGAAAGATAGGTGCAAACATTGAAGATTTCAAGTGCATGGTTGATTACGATTTAAAGGAAGAGAATGGTTGAAGAAGTAGGACAGGAGACTTGCAGGAAAATCGAATCCAGCATGTTGGCCGGACGTTGAGAAGATTTCCAAAAGTTGTACAGGACAAGTTCCTGCATTTATTTCATTAATTCTTTCAAGGAGGCAGAAAAGTACAAGGCATAGGATGAGGAAGTGAAGAAGAATATGGTTCGGCCAGGCAGACAAATTGTGGACAAATGACATGTGGCACAAGATGTTGAAATTGAAGTTGATAGGGGGCGGATTAGTTGGCATTAATTCTTGGGAGCAAGCCAATTATGCAAGTGGAAACATTTTCTTAACTTGCAGATTCATGCATGTATGAAGAGAATCAACAAGTGGAAAGTAGAGTGCTTGAAGATATCATGTTATTTTTCACATCGAATTTGTATACCTATTTTTTGCTCTTGTGTTTGGCAAGTTGATCACTCTTAGAGGTGTTCAGCTTGAGAGGGACATATCAGAAATGGTTATAGTGTCATTAGCTAATTGAAATAGACTCTATATAAAAGGGTCTAATGTGATGTTGTAGAGGGTGTAGGATATGTTATCCTCACCAATGAGAGGGAAAACAACTTGGGTTTCCCTCCTTAGTCTCAATAGTTTTGGGTTGTTAGTTAATCTTTCAAGTGAGGGATTTGGTTAGCCATAAGAGTATTTTTGTACTTTGTTCATTAATAATGACACTTAGTATTTTTTTTCATTCTCATTTGTTAACTAGCATCGTTCACCAAAGTTTCTTCTTTGGACCCAAAAGGCTAGAAACCAGCCGTCAAATGATATACGATTTCCCATTATAATAATGTTCAACACACTACTAGGTCTGAAGCTCTCGGCTTTACTATGGCGTTGTCGTACTAAAGCATTGCAATTAGGACCCTCTCAAGAGGTTCGCTTTATGTGCATCAGTAATCTAAGGGGAAAATCAAAGCCTCCATTACTACCACTTGGTTACTATGGCAATGGTTTTGTGTACCCAGCTGCAGTCACAACCGCAGGGAAGCTCTGTGAAAATTTATTTGGGTATGCCCTAGAGTTGGTGAAGGCCAAAGCTGAGGCCACGGTGGGGTATATGCAATCTGTGGCTGTTCTTATGATCACTGAAACCCTGCTTCACTATGCCCGGAACATGGATTGTGTTGAATGTTTCGCGTCTCCGGTTTAGGGATGTGGATTTCAGGTGGAGTAAGGCGGTGTATGGTGGCCGGCAATGGCCGGAGCCGGTCCCTTTCCCGGGGTAAGCTATCATGTTTCGTGTCAGAATGCAAAAGGAGAAGAAGGCATTGTTGTTCCATACTACTTGCCGCTCAATGCCTCGAAGAGGTTCATTCAAGATATCGAGCTTCCAAAAATAATCCAGCGTTGCTTGTAGCTGCTGTATAATTTTGGTTGGTTTGCTTATAGATCTTTTTCGTTTCGGATCCCTTGTTTTTAATGAAGCTGCTCAGGGTTGATGTCATTTGTGATCAAGTCAAGATGTGTGTGCTGTTTTGCTGTTGTCTGTTTTTCTATGTGTTTGGATAAGAACATGTATGAATTAGTTAGTGACGCTAATTTATATAAACACTATTCTTTTGGTTCAAAATATAAGATAAACTTGATCTATTTACGTTTATTAAGAAATTAAATAAAATCAGTTTAAAACAAAAATATGCCAGGCATGTATTTTTTTTTCATATATACTTTTGTTAATGAAGAAAATAAATAAAAGAAAGAGAATATATGAGGGTAAATTTGAAGGAAAAAAAAACTCATTAAATGCTTAGACAAAGGTAAATATTATCTTATAAAAAAACTAAGCCCATCCAACAAAGTTGAGCTTATATTTTGAACTGGAGGGAGTAATAATTTATCTTCCATCTTACTCTAAACATATGGATTAAATAACTAATGAATATTAAGTAAATTACTTAATTTAATTATTTGCAGTATATATATGTTTATTTTTTTAAATTACTTCTTACTCTATTGACGGAATTGCACACTCGTTATGTACAATTAGTATGAAAAAATAATTATAAACTTAGAAGACACTAAATTTAGAATTTTTTTTTTCCGACTGAACACTAAATTTAGATTTTATGTTTAATTTTATTTTGGCCGAAGATTTTATGTTTAATTAGAAAAAACAAATTTAGGAATGGTTTGAGGAGGCGTTTGAATTATCTTTTTAAAAATAATTATACAATATATAAAGTACATAGGTAAAACGAGTTAAAGCAGCATCTAGACTGTCCTATCATCCCTTCCTAAATACTCCTCTGGTTTTAAATATAAGATTCTTTTTTGTAGTATAAATTATACTATAAAAAAAGTCTTATATTTATGATCAGAAGAGTAGTTAACATACATACAGGCCATATATCTTGACCTGACCCGCTTCACCAATAATTGCATGGATATATCGTATTACGTGCATGAAATTTGATTTGATTGAAAAAAAACAGGAAAAAAAGTCTTAAAATGTTATATTCTGATCCAGGCACTGGGCTAAGAAGCTTTTTTTAACATTATTATGCCAAAAAAAATTAACTCTTTTATTTTGGTTTTAACTCATGACAGCAATTTATCTGAAAATAACGAGTCTTAGTTGTGAAGTGACAAGTCTGAAATTTGAATTAACAACATATTTTTTTCCATGATACATCACATGTGAAATAACATATAAATCAATTGAAAATGAGAACACTTCATCTGAGAATAACAAGTTCTGATTGTGAAATAATAAATTTTGAGTTGGGATTAACAACATGTAAATTAATTAGAAAATAATAAGGGCTCCAACAAGGACGGGCAAAAGCCAACCTACCACCGTCAGTGGCCAATGGCCGGTTGCCATTGAGGGTTCTGATAAGCGCTCCAAACATTTTTAGAAAATAATAAAGGAGTATTTGTGTAATTTTTCTTGAATTTCAAAATTTATATTTGATTTCACTTTTTTTTATTTTAAAGTGTTAGGTACTTGAATTAAAATGTTACAATTTCAAGCTTCTTTTTCTATCTTTTTGCCATTTGATTCTAGTTTGATTTTAGTTTTTGAAATTTAAAATCAGTTATTAAAAGCACCCTCTCAACGATTAAAAAAAAAATTTAAGCGCATAAAAAACATTTTAAGGATAAAAAATGACTGGTTTAGAATTTCTGGGATTAAATTAGAATGAACTCAAATTTCATATAACTCAAATTTACTCTACGTGTCACTTTCAAATTGCTTAAGTTTAAGTAGGATTGTATGAGTAATTTTCTTATATTGTAGGTACTCATAGTGACGTCACCTTTGCCATGTCATTTGTTGCTTCGCATTGTTGTTAATTGCATCCACACCGCTTAATTTCACAAGCAACGCCAATTTGAAATTTCACAATCACGAGAGCGGAGACGCCGAAAATAATGCTGAGCCACAATTATATCCACATGAAAAGTAAAACCGACACAGACCACAATTAATCTAATAAATTACTCTGTGAAAAAATTACAATAAAATCTCACTGGAAACAATTAAATATAAAAATGTCTCTTAAAATTATCAAATTATTCTAAAGTCTTAAAAGACCTTATTATAAGAGATTTTATTTATTTAATTACTAAATTGTTCTTATTTTTTTAAGTATATATTGATAACTGAAAGAGCAGTTATTAACAACTTAATATGTAATGATTAACAACTATCACAGCAATTACTAATAACATATTTTCTCAGTGCATTATAAAAATATAAGGCATAAGTTATCAATATCTGTCGCGATAGTTATTAATTATTACACTCTAAGTTGTTTCGCCATTAAAAGTCAATTTTGTTTTGGTGAATAGGGTTCATCAGATATGTGTG